TTTTCGGTATTCCCTTTTTCATTTTTCTTTTATTCCTTGATTCAGTCTTTTGTTTGGGGCCAGGATCTGTATCGATTAGTTCGTGTTCAGCCCCTTGCCAAGGTATTCAATTGCCTGCTATGAGATAAGGCAGACACAGGCACTCTTACATTTTTAAGCTTATAAAAAGGTTCAATAGAGCTTTTCATAAAGTTCTACCTGTAATAGTCACCAAGTACTCCCCGTCACTATATTGTTAAGAAAACAGGAATAACAAGGTTTTGTGGTCAAGGGTGACTTGGGCTCTTTTCACTTATAATAACCTTCTACTGGTTCACCCCACTTCGCCCTTGTGTTCATTCATTCATTTAGCCTCTCACTTCGTCACTGCTTCACTCAAGTATCATCATGACGTATTTTTTCACTTTGTTTTTCATCCCTTTACAAATTGATTACCTAGCCCTTGACTTGGCGCTTACCTTTACAGTTTGCTGTTGTCCTTGGATCCCATTCCCCATCAATGCCACAAACAGAGCTTGAACTGCCACTCAGTTCATACCCATCATCACAAGTGACCTCACAACTCGTCCCAGAAACCACTTGCGATAGGCCTGCACAAGGAGCAGATATCTGTCCGTTGCTGGGAGTTGGCCACTCACTGATATCACAGGTAATTCCTGTGAGAAGTTTAAATTGAAAGACTTAAGAGTGGTTTCATTTGGTGTAGGTATATCTTGTGTAGGTGTATCTTCTTTGGTGTAGGTTATATCTTTTGATAGCTATGCGACTCTACTTCGTATATAAGTTGTACAGAATGTAGTGAAGCATCATAAAGGCATATTGTATGAAAAAGATTATTGAGTGGGATTTTTGCAAAACTCAATGGATAGAGCGCTGGACTGTTTTGCGCGAGGTCGAGGGTTCGAGCCCCGGCCAGACCAGCACTCAGGGTCTTAAAATCATTGAGAAGAATATGCTACCTTTCTATAACACCAACAAAATGGTTAGATATTCTTGACTAGTCTTCTCGGATAGGGACGAATAAATGGAGGTCCCGTCTCCTGCAGGGTTAGGGGCAGGAGACGTTAATTTCCCACGCACGAGATTACTGTGTGATGGATGCCCTCCCCTGGGATGGGATGGGTGGTTGACAGGACCCCCATTGATACCAGTGTTTACTACACTGAAGGGGCTATCCTGTATAAATGTAGATGTCTACTCTACTCTAGTGAATTCATATCTCAAGAAAACAGGTGCAGCTTAAGTAGTGACGCCATCCAATCCGCATCCTCACCTGAGTAATTTCAAATTATTTTTACAATTTCCCCTCCCTCTCCCCCTAATACAAGCGCTCAATTTTCTATCCGAGAAAAGTCTGGGAAAGCTTTCATTTTCATTTTTGTGTCTTTCGGTAAGCAAGGCTCATTTCAATTAACATTCTTTCTCTATACGATGAAAGAAAATCTACTTACGATCGCACTTTTTCCAATTTCCTGTAGAAATTTTGTAGCCAGGATGGCAACGACATGAGTAGGTGCCATCGTAGTTGACACATAAATGTTCACAACCCCCGTTGTCGTAGTTACACTCGATACAATCTATGGATATATAGCGATTGCCAGAACATTCACGACCACCATGAGCTGGGGCTGGATTGTCGCAGTTCCTGCTTCTGGTCTTGTAGCCATTAGAACATGGAGTTTCTTCCCAACTGGCTGGGTTCCAAGGGCACCACTGACCATGTCTTGGTGCTAAAATACATCGAACAGAATGTTTTGACATCACTGATTATTAAATAAGCAGTTAATCGAAAAATTTAAAATCGTTCTCGCTCCAAAAAGTCTTGAAAAAGAGAATTGATGACGTGAAATTGGCTTGGCAAAACTCACTTTCATAGGTTTAGGAGAAGTGGTTTTAAGATTCGACAGCAGACACCGAAATTAATTTTTTCTCTCGGAAATATCATTCGAATGCTACTCAAATGTCGAATCTGAAAGTTCCTTCAGCGTTAACAATCTTTTTTCGTAAGTCAAGAGCAAGATGACCGCGATTTCTCAACCTATCTAATATTCCATAGGCCATCAAATCTGCAGAGCAAGCGCAATTAGCGAGTGCTCAGGATTTTCTCAGCGAAATATGGTCGCCATCTTTTATTTTAATGGCAGCGAAGGGCTGGGAAGAGAAAGTAATTTGTATTAAGGGGGTGGGTGAGAATCAAAGATAAGGAGAGGGGGCACCACTTGCTGTCGACTCTGACATCAAATTAAACATGGCCGGTTAACCGGTTAAATTAACGATCGCGCGCTTCTAAACGTTACCTCTCACTAATTAGACGCATGCGCTGCAGGCCAGGAACCAACTTGTCAGTTATTTTTCTTAAGAAATCGAAAAAAATCGATACGCTTTGCTGACCTCACGGTCTTATGCGTGAGTTTGCATAGTAATTAGTTTTCCCGGGGTAACGCAAAGGCTATTTACATGTACTCGGTTGGACGCACATTATCAGCTTGCAATTAAACTCGCCAAATCCGGTAAAAATCATTGATGTTAGGTAAAGAGAACTTTTTTTTTCTTTCCTGGCATCTTAAGAGCTTTATCGAAAATTCAGGATGCGATCAAAGGATGTAACAGTTTTATAGAATAGAGGTAAGACCTCATCAAAAGTTTCCTACTCAACGGATTTCGTGGCCTTCTATTATTTAAATGAACGAACCTCCATAAACAGTAAACATAAATGCTGCATATAGAGTTTTTGTCTGCATCTAAATTCTCGGTAATGCCTGAACAAAACATCAAGCAATCGATTCAGACTAAAAAAAATTTGTCTGTCTGGTAGTTTATTTTACGATGATCTCTGCCAAATGCAATGCGGAAATGGTACTATCGCTTTCCGTTAATTCCCAGAAATAAGAATATTTTTAGGCTAATTAAAAAAATATAGAATGTTTTTGTAGAGTAACTTAAAAAAATGCGCATAATATCCAAGTGAGTCTCGCTGAGTATGCGTTTTTCATCATCTGTCATAGTTTATTTGGTCATCTTTGACAGTAAAATTGATCAAATCCTAAGCGAATTCTCCCGGACTCATTTCTCCGTCTTTTTCTCAGAAATCCAGACAGTCTTGCATCTGTTCTAGACAGGATGTTTTTGAAGGAGGAGTATAAACAGATATCCTGAGAATTCACGAAACATAAACATTTATCCTTCCTAGGATAACAAACGTTTTTGTTGTCACTCGATGAGTTTACGGCTTTAGAAGGGGACATTAGAAGGGAAAATAAATAGAAATGTTTACAGCCTATGACGTAAATTCTTATTTTAATTAGACGAATAGCTTGAGCTATTCACCTCCACATAAGTTTTTCCCCGTTTACAATTTTAACATCTAAATTCATAACACGTAAGTTAGAAAAAAGTTGCCAGAAATTCAAGACCGGACGCTGGGAATGTGTATGTATCTCAGTCTATGCAAATAGGAGGTTTTTCCAGTGTAAGCGATTTCACTTTCTTGTGGACATAACGCACATTTATAAGTCAAACAAGTGTGTAACTGTCAAATAAAACGTTTTCATTTCGAGCATAAAACGTTGTTTTAAAGTGAAAGCCTAATAAAATTATACTCTCAAAGAGCCTTCGTCAGCACATTCCTTCGTCAGCAAAAATGAATATGTTTCGTACAAACTAAGAAAAAAGGCTCTCAGAGAGATTTATCCGGTGGATATTGAGCGGGCAATAAAGAACTCCGAGGGATTTGTTATATATTTTTAAGAGCTTTGTTTGTGTATTGCAGTTTTCGAGAACTGCCTCTTCAATCCAGCACAATATTATTGTGTGGAACGAAATAATCTGAGAAAATGGTGGAGTCTAATCACTTCTTGCAAAGAGCTAATTTATCAAGAGCAATTTTACACTCTCTCTCGCGTCGTGAGCATGATTTTCCTAGTCTATTGGCCAAAGAAAGTTTTTTAGAGAACAAAATTTGCGCATTTGATGTTAACTTAATCACTGATGCAGTTGTGATTAGGTATTTAGATCATTATTTATCATTTACCGGTTTATTTACGGGATAGGAACGACTGAGGATTGTTTTAGTGTAAGCGTAATCCATTGGTTTACCAATGGAAAGTCAAAATCATATCAATTGTCTCCTAGTTTCTTATTTTATCATTTGGTAAATCATAAAAAAAGCTTCCTTGATTCGACTCGCGATAACAGCAACACAAGAGGCGAAATCTTGTCACGTATTCGTTCCCGCTAATTCGTCCAAAATACTTATCGATATCTAACGTTTAGCAACTCCATTCAATTCATTAGAAAAGGATGGTTAAAATTTCGTATTAACAGGTAAACAGATCTTTCCACAATTCGGTTATGATTACAGACTGATCGCCCATGCCCGGAAGAACAAAATATCAAAAAGTGCTATTACTCACAAGGTCCGCAGCCTCCACAACCTTCGACCTGGTTTCGTTTTCCACCAAATGAGATAACTCCAAAAACTAGGAAAGCGGTCTTTACAAGCACAGTCATAGTGCTCTGTTAGGGATCGAGTTTAGTAAAAAATGAAGGTGTAAACTGACTTGTTTCCATATTAAATGGGGGAGACCCCCCTTCAGCAACAAGCCGGAAACACTCGTAGCGATAAATCTATGCGGCTTCACCTCCTTTCTACGGTTGACTAACATGTCCTACGTGCACACTCTCTGTTTAGGAATTGGCATACTTTTGAAGTACAAAAATCGTAAAATTCCAACAGAAAATAAGTAAATACTTATTGGGGAAAAATTGGCCACTTTGTATCAGGTGCAAGCCTTCAAATTTGTATGCACAGATCAGACTTATTTGCTGTTCATCGATTAATTGTTTTGAGCCGATGTAGCTATGGCAGCTTCAAGAAACAAAAACAAAAAGTACTCAGGCATTCCAAACCCTCAAAATACAATTCCAGTCATTGTTCGGGGCCAGTGTAACACTAAGTTATTAAAATTAACAGCCGCAGGGTCGTAGAATTTCTACGTGATGTGGTTCAAACACCTTCGTGACTAAGTTTGTTTATTATTCTCAAAAGAAAATCAGTAAACTTGCAAATCCAAATTTAGATCTTGAGTCGATGTGTCTAATGGCCTTAATGGCCTTTCTTACCTGAGAATATTTCATCCCTTAAGCGCAGTTTAGCTGCAGTTTTCTCCGCGCGCCAGTTCAAATAACAGGGAAGTGATTATTACTTAGAATTTATTTATTCAAATTAATCTTTTCTTAGCGACCCTTTGTAAGCAAGTACTTGTACCCCTGAGAGAGAACGGAAAAATATTGTTGTTCCTCGAAAACATAACTATTCGTGACCACTTGGTGTTCACAACGTATATAACTATTTGTGGTAAGTAATTATTAAAAGTAATTTGTACTAAGGGGGTGAGCGACAGTCAAAGATAAGAAAAGGGGTTCCCTCTACCGTGGGCTATGACACCATGGCCCCTTGTAAACCGGTTAACCGATCGCGCGCTTCTAAACGTTAACTTTAGAACTCCCTAGTAATACGTTTGTGCTGCAAGCTAGGCCGTCTACCTCATTCAGGCACAATAATCAGCAAATTGCATCTTATTAGGGAGAGATAACGTTAAGAAACAAATCAGAACTCGACAAAAATCGACACTCCTTGTTAACCTATTATCTCGTTTGTGATTTTGCAATCACGTAATTAGTTTTCACAGGGTAACGCAAGGGCTATCAACATGCACTCGGTTGGACGCGCATTACCAGCTTGCAATTAAAATAGCCGACTCCGGTAAAATCATTGATCTTAGGTAAAGTAAAAAAATTGTTATCAGCGTCTCAAGTGCTGCATCGAAAGTTCAGGAACCGATCACTGGTATAGCAATCATAGGCATAGAGAAGGATCATCAAAAGTTTCCATCTAAACGGATTTCGTGATCGTTGCAAGATTCAAACGTGCATGACCTCTCCCGTACGTGAGTTACTCTTGATTTAAAATTTAACCTTTGACCTTGTAAATTCTCGTTTTTCAGTGTATTATATATCAGTGTTGGCCTTTGTTGCGGCTAGTTCTTGTTCTAAATCATTTTTTATTTCACTCGGCCCGTTCACCTCAATAGGAGGAAATATCTGTAAGTCGTCAGTCCTTTTCTCGTTTTCATTTTGTCTGTCAATTTTCATAGATCTATTACAATTATAGCCGTTATTTTTCCTTTTAGCCGAACCACCATTTACATCATTTTCCTCGTCACCTTCTTCATAATCATCTCCGTTCGATTTACTCTTTGACCGTGAACGAGGAATAAATTTCTTTTTTTAAATCATCTCTTGGCTGGAGTCTACATTAGTTCGAAGATATCCGTTTCAACTTCATCAAGGCTCAGAATAAAAAGAGTTATGGCCACGAATTCGTGTGATGACGTTTCGGCAACGAGCGATCGCGATAGGCCACCCAACGTGACTTCAGACAACGAAGGAATTCGTCACGAGAAATCTTTACAACTTTGCAGAAATAGAAGTGCGGCCAAAGCAAACGCACGAAGAAGATAAAAGAAGTTACAGAATGCATGTCTAACTCCCGAGACGTCGCTGATGTCGAGTGAAAAGCAAAGAAAAATCTCGAAACAGCAACACTGTGGCATTTTCGAGGCATTCACAGCGCATACCATGCCTCCCTTGAAGACGAATTCGAGATCCAAGATTCCCTAGTCTCCCTCGCGGAGCGTTGCGTGACATCCAAAAAAACGGCTGCGAGGGAGAATAGCATTTCTTATGAACAGGATGTTTTTAATGGAGACTATTAACATACATATTTATTCATTGTCGCATTCCAAATACAGTCTTTGTGGCCCAGAAAGCGACGACGGAAACCAGGCCCGGACGGAAACTGAAAGTGAAAGTTTAAAGCTTATGAGGTGTACGATAATTTTAGCCGACCAAATGGCTTGAACAACTTATCACCTCAAAACATATCCTCCCATCACAATCCTTCACACATTCCTTGTGAAACAGTGAAAGGTTCCGGCAGAGAGATCAATTCATCTGGTGGATATTGATCTTTCTATCAGCAATCAAGAGCTTCAAAAGATTGAAAATATTTTTAAGAGCTTTGTTTGTGTATGGCAAAATTCGAGGGGCGCTCTATCAATTCATACATACACATTCTATTTGATAAAGCAGGTTGATTAATGGCAGCAAATGCTGATGCGGACCTGCTCTAACAATAATAATGATAAATATCATATAAATACATGCAAAAGTAAGTTGAAAAAAAAAGGACTCTACAGATGAAACACAAATTAAATAGCTAAATAACTAAAATAAATTATGATTGTTAAAAGTGTATAAAATCATTGACGTTGTCGCTAGTTCCGCTTATTGGTTGCGTCGAGCGAAATAATCTGTGAAATGGCAAGGTGTAATCGCTTCAAGCAATAAACTAAAAGCTATTTTAGGTCTTTATCGCGACGTGAACATGATTATCCGAGTCTCTTGGCCACAAAATTTTCTTAGAGGACAAAGTTTGCGCATTTGATGTAAGCCGTAAATCAAGAATTATATCAAATACGTTTATCATACAAAGTTCCTGTTTAGGGATTGATTTTATCCCACCATTAATTAACCAGATATGAACGACTGGAGATTGTTTTAGTACAACTTCAATCGGTAAACCAGCGGCAATTCAGATATCACATCAACTGTCTGCTAGTTTCTTACTTCATCATTTGGTGAATCAGAAGGATTGCTTTTGTTTTACGAGCTACGAAAATTGCTGCTAGAGAGGCGAAATCACACAATTGTCACGTTTCTCCGCTAATTCATCCAGAATTCTTACCGATATGCAATGTTTAGCAACTCTATTCGAGTCAAAAGAAAAAGGATGGTCAAAAACTTCCTACCTGCACATCAACAGATCTTTCCACAGTTCTGTTTTGAAAACAAACGGATTGTACCCAAATAATCAAGTATTAATGAGTGGAGATTACTACTCACAAGGTCCGCAGCCCCCACAGCCTTGGACATGATTTCGTTTTCCACCAATTACTATGACTCCAAGAATTAGGACAGCGTTCATGGCGAGAACGTTCATGGTTCCAGTAAATTAAAAAAAAAAAAAAAAAACAAGGCTACGAGAGATGTTAAGAATCTCTTTCTCTTTCGAGGGAAAACCCCCAAACCGCCTCAGGTGGCAGCTATGAAACATGCATAATGAGTTAGCTTCACACCGAACCTCACGTACTACCAAGAGAGTGTATTTCCGTCATTCAACAGCAATCTGACAATCGAGAAATGCCTCACTTTTAAAGTACGAATCGAAAAAACCCTACAGCAAGTAAGTTAAACATGATGTTAGAGAAAATTGGGTCAAAGTTTATCAGGCGCATGTTTTTTAATATGAATGCGTAGAAACTTATTTTTAATGCGTTGTTCAAATGTTTATCTTAGTGATACAACTAAAGGAACTTCTCGAGACAAGAAACAAATACGCTGGCACTCCAAATTATTCAAAACACAATTCCAGTCATTTTCCGAGGCAATCTGACATCGTACCAGTAACATTTACGTTTAGAAGGCCTAGAATTACTTAGAATAATTGTCATAACAATAAAAATTGTTCTCGGTTACACGATCAACGCAGGTGATGCGATTATAAACCTATCGCTTAACCGTCGCATTTGTTATCTTTTTCGTAATTCTCATTCTCTTTCTTTGAAAGAAAAGCTGTAAATTTTCAAATTCAATGTCGAGGTAGTTTGAAGGACTACCTTGGCCAACAACAGTTGGCAGTTTTTCGCGAGACTGTTTAACGGAAGTGGGGTATTTGCAGCAGTAATAAGATAGCCTATAACTGTATTCTTTATGGCCGTGTTAATCCAAGAATATCTGTTTCCTTAAAGCGCAGTTTAGCTGCAGTTTCCTCCGCTTGCCAGGCCAGGAAATAACAGAAAAATACTGAAAATTATGATTACTGAGCATCTACCAATTCAAATTATTCATCTCTTGTTGACCCTTTGTAATGGTCTTATTTTAGAAAACATGTACGTGTGTACCCCTAGGGAAGAACAGAAAAAAAATGTTTTTCTCGAAAACATGATTATTTATGACCACGTAGTGTTCATATCCAGGGAGTTTGGGGTTTGTATTTCACGCTAAGTAGAACAGATCGAGTACCATTCGAGACAGCGTGGAACCAAAGAGCTGCAGTACCTAAGCATAAATATATTTAGAGAAATTCCCTTCAAATTTGGAAACTGAAAGCATGCAAATAGAGATACGAATCGCCTTTAACGCAGCAAAAACAGATCACGTTAAGTGAAAGGAGTTTTGTTGTGTCCCTCCAACGTAAACGACTGCTTTGTTTTTGTAAGTTTTAGATTTATCTTTTACTGTTGACAGCCTAATTTTGCACGTCCCTCGATCTTCATTTGTAATTGATTAACCTTGCTGTGTTATTGTTTGAATAGGGTTCGAACTTTATTAACATTATAACACCATGAGTGCACTACGTTGGATTTACATCTTGACAGCCTTGCTTGCGTTGCTTGATACTAAAAGAACTAAAGTACATGGAGGTAAGATAAAGGAAAAAGTTGATACTTCTCGCATACGATCAGATTTGCTAGTTATATTTTGTCTTGTAAGGCGACTGGGAATCGAATCGAAGCGTCACAGTCACGCACGAGTCCATGGAAACCCCATGACAACTTCCTGCTCTTTTCTCAACTTCAGCATGGATTCAGCTTTTACTTACGATCCAAAGAAATCTTATGGAGCTCAAATAAATGCTTTCCTAAGCCGAAACACTCATTATGTTACCCAAAACTGCCGCTGCTAACAGGTAATATGCAAATCTCTAAATCGCCTTCGTCTCCTGTCTGGAACTGTCAACTCCTCGGCAGCTGTTCTTCCTTTCGAACAGCATTCGTAAATTTCCTTAAGTTATTTTTATAGCGTCACCACTTATGGTTGTCAAAATATTGATCGAGACCATGTAATAGCAATGAAGGCGTCTCAACAAAAAAAAAATATATATATATATATATATATATAAACAGACTAGGAGAAGTCGTGGCTGTGAAAAATTGCTCGCTGCGTGTTGCAGAGCGTTTCAATAGCGGTCATAAATTAAGGACAGGAAGATCGTTTCAACGTTACTCTGAATCTCACGCAGCTCGCGTTGCGATCGTCAGACGGTTAACCGTGACAAACCGCTATATATATATATATTTAACAATTATTCCACGAGCGTTTGTTGGATATGAGATGATTATAACCAACTCGGCGCTACGCGCCTCGTTGGCTATCTATCATCTCATATCCAACAAGCGCTCGTGGAATAATTGTTTTATTTAAAAAAAACGCCCCCAAGATATTGGACAAATCTTCTGGACTTTACTTTGTAAGAAGAAACCGGATGTTACAATGTACAGATATTAGATTATGGTATATTGGCTTATATAATGGCTAAGCCAATAAAAAGTCTTGAATTGCATTATCCAATGATCATATATATATATATATATATATATATATATATATATATATATATATATATATATATATATATATATATATATATACGAATAAACAAGAAATAGAATTGTTTCACTTATCCTCGGAGTGCTCGATGCAGAAATGCGCAGAGCAAAATACAAATGTGAAAGAAGGAAATTATTACTAGTAATAATTTCCTTCTTTCACATTTGTTTATTATCTGTAGCCCTAACCACAATTCTCAGTTAAGATTGAAACTTGTCATTCCTCGTAACGGAAATTGTGAACAGCCTGTTTACGAAGGGGGGATGCGGGTCTATAGTTTCGGAAGTTAACGGAACAAGATGTACACCGGAAGTTGAAAGCATGCTGCATAAACCTTTAAGTACCCCTGAGACGAAAATTGTCTATTTCATTTTGGGTTAATTTTGTTACAGAATGTTGAATTGGGTCAAGTTAAAACCCTTTGGTCATTAAAAACTCAAAACAAACATCGATGACCAATTTTTACCGCTTCAAAGTCGTCCCAAAATCATCCTCTATTGCTTAAAACATGTTTCAGCCGAGACGGAAGTGGTTCTTTGTTTTTTTCCGGGAAAGAAGGTGTATTGGAGGCGCTTTCGTCTTCTAAATAAATGTTGCAAGAGCTGGCCTGATTTAACATTTTTTTGCACGGGTATTGGGATGAATTTGAGACCCTTTGATAGCACGCTGACTTGGTTCTCCGATGGTTGTTAGTTTGAGACTTTTTTTTTTAAAGAAATTTTCATAGGGTATATAGGCTTTACGGATTGCTTTGAAATTTGGTCGGAAGACTCCCAACTATAATTAGAAAACCATGTTAGAGATTGTCGTTTTCCAAAATGAATCTCCCGCAATGGCTTCCTACGCAGTACGTATTGGAGGAGTTTGCTATGATCTCGTGGTTTTAGGGGGTAAGAAGTGGGATTTTTGTCGCTGACAGATTTCAAAGGTGCAACACAAAAAAATAGCTGATTTCCAATTAACAGCCAGTGAGGGGGGATCACAAGGGCATTACAAAGTCAGTTGAATTTCATTTTACATCCCCTTCCCCACGCGCCCTTTGGCGATGAATAATTACAGGTCCGTTATTTGTTACTTTTCTTTTCCATAGTTACTCTATGCAGTTCTCCGTGTTTGTTAGTTTCCAACATGACGGATATTGTTACCATGGACGTCCAAACCTCCTCTGTTAACTCAGTTGTAGTGGGCTTAACGAGGGCTGTTGCGATAGACGTTCATTTCAGTTTGGGTTACATATTCTGGAGTGACGTCACTGAACACAGCATCAAACGTCTTCATGTTGATACTAATACTACAGCTACAATTATCAGCAATTTTGGGGTTTGCGACGGACTGGCTGTACATTGGAGGACTTCCAAGCTATTTTGGACTGATACAACAAAGAACACCATATCCGTATCAGACCTCGATGGCAATAACCAGCTTGCAATTATTTCCTTTGGTCTCGATGAACCAAGAGGGATTGCTTTGGATCCTGACAACAAGTACATGTTTTGTTTGTTCACAAATGGAGCAATCAGTAGATATTTCACAAATTTTGTACTAACAGTAATTAGTATATACTAAAACAGTGGATAGCGTTGAAGGCGCGCTCTGATTGGCTAGTCAAACTCCGAATATCCTTTGCTATTTACCTCCGAGCAACTCGGGAAGAAATGGTGTCCCGGTTTGCATCCGTGACAAGCGAAGAAATCACTCAAATTAATTTTTGGTGGTGTATATTATCTCATTGTTTTAGTATAAACTAAAACAACTATTCACCTCCACTTCGGTGAATGGTTATTAAATATTCCAGGGTTACTTGCTTTAAAAGGAGGATCGCTACGCACATTCTGAGTTACCCATCTGTTTACCATCTTACGTCTGTTTCGCACAGGGTTTTTACCATTTCTACTGAGGGGTTCATATAGAGTTAAAGTTTGAAAAATGGATGGCATAAATACTTTCAAAATGTCTTTTTAATCAGCTGTTTGGGTGATTTGACAAAAGTCTTCCATATTTTTATTTTGTTTTCTGTTCTGGATTTGTTTTTCTACTTTGTTCGTTAGTGTGTGTGTGTGTGTGTGTGTGTGTGTGTGTGTGCCTGTGCGCGTGCACATGCGTGTGCGCGTGTGCGTGAGTGCGTGTGTGTTTTTTTCCTGTTGGGTAGGGAGGATGCATGAAGTAGGGAAGGAAGACAACTGGAGCTCACGTTATAAAATGATCTAACAGTTTTTTTTTTTCTTTTCCGACGTCTACCAGCTTTATGTTCTGGACTGATTGGGGACTTTATCCGAAAATTGAAAGAGCTACCTTGAGCGGAAACCAAAGAACAAGCATCGTAACAACGAATCTTTATCATCCAAATGGTCTTGATCTGGATAAAGGAAACCGACGCATTTTCTGGGTCGATGCAGGCTTAGATAGAGTTGAATCCATCGATTATAATGGCGGTAACAGGAAGTTGCTATTCCAACTAAGTGGTTTACATCCATTTGGAATTACTTTTGTTCCACCTTTCTTGTTTTTCACCGACTGGCATTCGAGTAGAGAGGTTTATAAATTGGACGCCATGACTGGGGAGGTGTTCCGCAGCTACAATATCAACGGTGGACGACCAATGGGCATCGTAGCTTACGATGGCTTCCGACAGCCATCAGGTCAGTTAGATTCTTTTCATGTGAATACCAAGAAATTTATAAAGTCCACTGGGGAATTCTATCTCAAGTTAAATAACCGGATATACTTCATTCGTTCCAAACCTAGACCTTACGAACAGTTTATAATCTCCTGTCTGAGCCTTATGTAACCCTGTGCCAAATTATTTTACCACATCATCATCACTCCGTATATTTTAACGGGTTTATTCTATTTTCTTTTAAAGGCTCTTACAATCATATTCATATATTATTTTATTTACTTTTGACATAATGATGACGTGAAGCAAACGTTTAAACGTCGTCTCCTAGTGCAATGTCTTTTGTCACAACTGATAACCCTCTTTTTCACTGCAAGCTTCAAGTCCATGTTCTATAAACAATGGAGGCTGTAGCCATTTTTGCGTTCCAAAAACCTCTGGTCAAGAGTGCAAGTGTCCAACAGGCTTGGCAGTGAAACAGAATGGAAGAACGTGTGAAGAAAGTAAGTCTTTTGCTCTTGTGCTTGAGCTTATTTTACTCACCTTTGTCGCTTATTTCTGATAAGTATTCTTAACTTTCATTTCAGAAGTTAAAAATTTTTTTCTTTACACGGATGCCGACGACAAGTCAACAAACATCATCTCACTGGATGTCAACTATCTGGTGTCTAAAACCTTGTTCAAGCACCTTGGTGATCATCGTCCTATTGCTTTGGACTATGACCCTGTTGAAGATCGCGTGTATTGGACTGACGTAAGACAAGGGCGCATTATGAGCGCCTTCAGAAATGCATCCTCCGCGAAGACTATATATTATTGTAACGTCCTTAATCCTGATGGTTTAGCTATTGACCATGTGGGTCGAAACGTTTATTGGACAGATACTGGGACAGACAGGATTGAACTGGGTCGTCTTGATGGAACGAAAAGGAAGGTCCTATTCAAAGATGGACTTGACGAGCCGAGGGCCATAGTACTCGATGGAAGAAATGGGTAAGTGCCTGTATGCAAAAAAAAAAATGTTTCAATGCAAATTTAAATGAACAACCTTATTTCCGTAACATATTAGAGGAAATTTCTGGTATAGAAGCCGCACGCCATCGATGCTTAAATTAGCAATTACAGGCAGAAGGCTTTTATGGCATAAACAACTCACCCATGGGACACACTCTGATAAGCACTGCATGGAAGCGCTCTTAAAATGAACTACTTGAAGTATTCTCGTGGTGCAAGTTATCATGAGGTTGCAATGGTCTTACCTCAGCATGTCCAGTAAAAATTTGTGTACTTTTACCCTTTTCATTCTAAATTTGATACCGTCGATCCATTTCCCTGCTTTACTTTGAGTCCAAGTTTTGATATAGCTCCTCGAGGTAACTCCTTTTAACTGATTACAAAAGGCTCGGTTCTATGATATTTTAGCAAGTTGATAATTGCACTCAAAACACTTTTAATGACGGAGATTTCTTTTGCCTGCCTGCTTTCAGCATGATGTACTGGACTGACTGGGGAGCCAACCCAAAGATCGAGAAAGCCGGAATGGATGGCTCAGGGAGACAATCCATTGTTACTGGAAATTTAGCTTGGCCTAATGGACTGACCATCGACCAAGCCACAAAACGGCTATACTGGGCTGACGCTAAACTAGACAAAATAGAGACGACGGACCTTAATGGAGGCAACAGACAGCTTCTATTGTCATCTGCAGATCAAATACATCCTTTTGGCTTAGCGTTGTATGAAAATGTGCTTTACTGGACTGATTGGAATAAGAAGAGCATTCTACGTTACAATTTAACAAGTGCAACGCATGAAACGGTGATTCCTGACCTCCAGAAACCGATGGACATTCATTTTTATGACCCATCTCTCTCATTTTCAGGTAATAACTCAGGATACAATTATCATTTCGATTTAAAGCTCCACAGTTTAAATTCAAATTCCCTTTATTGCGATACTCATCAGTAGAATGTCAAAACTTGGATGAACTTGAATCTCCCCTACATGAGAATAAAATAAAACTAAAATGGAAGAGAGAGATTGTCTCAAACACTGCTAAGGGATGAAATTTTTCAGCCACCAATGCACAAAATGTAGGAGAGGTGAAAGTCTGAAATTATCACAAATATTATATTGAAAAGATCATGTTCAAATCCGTTATTGCCATTAGGACCTCACGCATGCTCTCAAAACAATGGGTTCTGCACTGACTTCTGTCTACTGAAGCCAGGAGGATACAGATGCGCATGCCCACCTGGGATGTTGCTGAAACCTGATGGGAGAAGCTGTGATGATGGTGAGGACGCAAGTTATATGTTCCCTTGAATCTTTTATCTGGTAATAGTGTTCATTTGTCGCTTATGTTGCGAAGGTATATACTCAAAACATGACTTTTTGATCTTCGTTTTGTTCAAGATGTGTTCGACAAAGCCAATTCAAAGAAATTCATGATCTTTCCTGAAGCTGATACTCGAGGAATATACAGTGTTGCAATCTCATTATCAGAGAGCCCTTGCAAACCTCTGCAAATCAAAACAAACATTTCCTCGCCTGTTGCTGTCGATTACGATCCATTCGATGGCAAAATCTATTGGACAGATGTCGCCCTGAAAATAGTAGCAAGAGCTTTCCCTAACGGATCCTCTGTTGAGGTAGTTGCATACAACAATGTTCAGGGGCCTGAAGGGTTGGCAGTCGATTATATTCAACGGAATGTTTACTGGACGGATCCTGGAACCCACAAAATCGAGGTAGCACGCTTAGATGGATCATCTAGAAGAGGTCTTATAACATCTGCAATCGAGAGTCCAAGTGCCATAATACTCAATATAGCTGAAAGGTATATCAAAGCAATTTGCTTTTGATTACGCGTTGCTTAAAAGCTCTACATACCATTTACTATTTCAACTTAGTTATGTAGTTGCCGTTCTATATTTTCTCATCAAAAGTGATTAAGTGAACTTTAAACTCGCACATACAATTGGCCTTGACTAATTGCTTTGTTGTCGCTGCAACAAAAGTTTTCTTATTGTAACAAATCGAGCGAATATGAACTTCAGATCTGAAATAGTACGATGATCGTTACAGAACGAAAAGGTTTGTATTGAAGAGTCATGGACGCCGGTTTCGCCAAATGTATCCCAGCCCCAGAGGGAGGACGAGAAGAGGAGGAATAAGGTTAGAGATTGGAAACCCATGTGACAGAAAAAGACGAAGGAAGAAAACAGACGCATTGAATCTCTCACCCTAGTTTACTAATCATGTATATACTGCCTAAAGTACTCTGATGCTACTAAAGTGAAAGAAAATATCAGTAGGCTTTGGAAAGTTGCTAAAGTTAGTTTAAAACCACTTCTACAGTAATCATTTAAAATAGAACTTTCAAAAGTATCTGAGGATTCTGTGCTAAGCCTGAGGCATCTCAGAGAAAGCACTGCTAATTTGGCAAAACAGTCACCAACACATCAGATAGCTTGACGCAGGGTTATAAAGATGAATGGGGTCAGACTTTACTTAATAATCATCGGTTTCTAAATCACGATCATGACGCTTTTATCTTTAGGAAGATGTTCTGGAGTGATCAGGGATTGCATCCAAAGATTGCAAAGATTGAGCAAGCGAACATGGATGGCTCTGCCAGGGCAGTTCTTGTGAATTCTGGACTCGTGGGGGTCAACTCACTAGCTATAGATTACTCTGGAAAACTATTGTACTGGTGTGATGCAATTCTCGATAGGATCGAAAGGATAGACTTTCAAGGAAACAACCGAATCGTTATACTAGACTTGTCGTCCGGTACTTGGCACCCATTCGGACTGGCTCTATCCGATGACGTTCTTTACTGGTCAGACCTGGAAAAGAAGAATATTAACAAATACAACATGACTTCCTCTCTCAGTGAGGTTCTGGTCCATGGAATGGGGTCACCAAAGGAGCTACATGTTCATGATGACGGAAAAATATTTTCTGGTATGTAAGAAAGAAAGAAAGGTTTAAACAAACAGGCCTGATCCCATTCAGATGCTACAGCTACTCCTATACTATTCGATCGGATTCTTTTCTCAAAAATTCTCATTTCGAGAGAAAGAGACCATAATTGAAAAAAATAGTCAATCATGTGATCTGCTTACGTCCATAACCGAATATGCATCTTGTCGTTGACGATCAAATGCAATTGTAATTTTCAGTTGTGTCCAAAGTTATCCCTATTTACTTTGGCTTTCCTTTACTTCGCCTTGTGATTGGTGAACAAAACCCGCACCACGCTCTAAGCCAATCGGAAGCAAGAATACAATCGTGACCTCATCAATCACGTTTTCTCGTGCTTTAAACAGTTAACCTTCACTAGCTAATTATGATCATAACTTTTCTTCTGATTGGCCATTGATTATTGATTTTGGTTTGTTTTTTGGGCAATTAGTCGAAAAGTGCCATAATTTTCCCCATAATTGCCAGTCGTGCTCACGTTTTGGTAATCAAATCCACTGTGTATTCAGATATCAGACATCACTTAATTAGTTAACTCCCCTTCCCTTAACGTGTAGGATCTACCGGCTGTTCTCATTTAAATGGGGGCTGCAGTCATCTTTGTCTTCCAAATCCAAGTGGACATCAGTGCTTTTGTCCTGAAGGAATACTGCTTAAGCCTGGGGATCCCTTGACTTGTCAAGGAGGTAAGAAAAATTTGATTAATATTTTTTTTAGATTTTCTTTCGATCCTTTATCACAAAATATGTTAATTAGTTGTTACCGTGTTCCCTTGTACACGAGGCAAAACCAAGAAATATTTTTCAGCATACGCGGAAACAATATAAACGGATATGAGTTAGAGAGGACTTAGCTTTAAGAATTGACTGACACGGTGTTGTGGATGGTAGCTGTAAATGAAAAAACTAAATGTTGGTTGTTTTAATTTCTTCCTGTTTCAGTCACCCGCTGTGCCATTTTGTCTGTGCCCTCGAACGGAAGTCTAAATCCCTGTTCTAATCTACCCGGAAATACCTGTCAGTTTTCTTGTGACAAAGGGTACATTCTTAGTGGATCATCAACGCGCACTTGTAGAAACGATGGCACGTGGACTGGCACACAGACTCAGTGTAATGGTAAGCTAGTAATAATGAATGGATTATGAATACATGAATGACTCAGGACATTCAATGGCTTCTCAAAAACCATGCAAAGGATGCTGAGAACGTTTAAATTTTTTTTGTTTCTTTGTTCGAATTTGAGCAAAGATAATAGGTTAATTGACCACTCCCCATAGGGCTTCTCGGGGCCAACCTTATAACACTGTGCGGGGAACTTTACCAGACTGCTTGTAGCAGTTTACAACTGAATCAATAAAGGCAAATCTAACAAATGCCCCCAGTTTCCAGTATTCATGTCCAATAATCGAGTTATTGACATGAATACAGACGGATAAATCCATTTACATACTGGTAGAGAAAGAGGCTGCGAGGCAGTCACACAGCCAAACAGACAGGCGCACAAAAGTACATAGGGAGAGATAATTATATAGTGAGAAGGGTATCTAGTGCTAGAAGACAGAGATACAACCAAATCAAATTGCTAATATATATTCGATTCATTCTCTCACTTTTCAAATTCTGTTCCTAGCTGCCACCTGTCCAGCCTTACCCACACCAGCAAATGGAATCCAGACGGGATGTTCAGGAAAAACGGCAGAAAAGCACAACACAGTTTGCCAGTTTTCCTGCAAGGCTGGGTTCACGGCGATCGGCTCTCCTACAAGAAAATGTCAAGAAAACGCAACCTGGAGTGGACAAGACTTTGTATGCTCAGGTTAGATAAATTCCTCCTTTAAAAGCACCGCTTGCACAGTGGCCACAAATTTCCCTTGTTGAAAGTCTTCTTTCGAGGTCTCATCGTCCTCGTATTCTAAGCCAAATCTCAGGGGT